AATAAGAACATGAAAAAACACTTTTGTTACTTTTCTTTTCTTTTTTCTAAAAGAAAGAAAAAGAAATTCTTTTTTCTACTGAGATTACAAATTCGAAATAAATACCGATGAAATTCATTTCTAATCCACACATTTTCAGTTCATTTAGATTATGTGGAATTTACAACTTTTATTCGTTTTCTCATCAATTTTTCTTCTTACAAATGCATTGTCCATTGAAAGTAAACAATTTACATGTTGAGTTTGTTCAATATGACTTTCGTTTCATTTTGTTTTAAAGGAAATTCGTATTCATTCGATGAAGATAATCTTATTCATCAACGTTTTCGGCGACAACAGGGCGTAACGACAACAACAACGACGGAAGCGTTGAATTGCATGTGTCCTTGTGTTTGTACTACAACTTCAAGTAAGTTCACAATTTTCAAATTCATTCTTCTTCATCTTGGAAATAAACACAGGAAAAACACCATTTTTTGCTCGTTTTCTTTTCGCATATTTTTACTAATTCTTGTCTAATCGAATACTTCTAGTAAATCAATATTATTGTTTTGTTCGATTTACTTTATAGCGACAACGACAAGTTCAACATCATCGTCGACATCATCAACATCGACATCAACTTCATCGACATCAACTTCATCGACATCATCGACATCATCGACATCGTCGACGTCGACAACGACATCATCAACATCAACATCGACTTCATCGACTTCCACATCCTCATCTACATCTTCAACATCAACTACATCAACATCAACTACATCAACTTCAACTACATCCACTTCCACTTCAACATCATCAACTTCAACTTCAACTTCATCATCAACTTCAACATCAACTTCATCATCAACATCGACATCAACTTCCTCTTCTTCAACATCATCAACATCAACCTCAACATCTTCAACATCGACAACATCAACATCAACTTCTTCTACATCCACATCGACTTCAACATCATCAACATCATCAACTTCATCAAGTTCAACAACAACTTCAACATCGACTTCATCATCATCGACATCCACGTCAACTTCTTCTACTTCCACAACATCAACATCAACATCAACATCGACATCATCAACTTCGACATCAACATCAACTTCGACTAGTTCAACATCAACTAGTTCTTCATCAACAACAACAACAACTACTGAAACAACATCAACTTCATCAACTTCATCAACATCAACAACAAGTTCAACATCAACCACATCAACATCAACATCAACTTCAACTTCATCAACTTCAACATCGACAACATCATCGACTTCGTCGACATCATCAACTTCATCTACATCAACGTCCACATCAACTTCATCATCATCAACTTCTACAACATCAACTTCAACATCCACATCGACATCCTCGACTTCAACATCGACAACAACTGATACAACGTCAACCTCATCTACATCATCAACAACTTCGACTTCATCTTCATCAACATCATCCACATCGACTTCCACAACATCAACTTCCACAACATCAACTTCCACAAGTACTTCATCGACATCATCAACAACAGCAACTGATACATCAACAACATCAACTAGTACTATTTCATCGTCTTCCACATCCACAACTAGTACGACATCAACATCATCAACAAGTTCAACAACATCAACATCAACTTCAACTACATCAACATCAACATCGACTTCAACAACATCGACATCAACAACAAGTACAACAACTGCAACGACAACAACAACTGATACAACGTCAACATCATCTACATCGACTACTTCAACATCATCATCGACATCAACAACTTCAACATCAACTTCATCTTCAACTTCTTCTACATCAACATCAACATCATCCACATCGTCTACATCGACATCATCAGCAACAACTTCAACTTCTTCTACAACTTCAACTTCTACAGTTTCAACTTCAACAACATCAAGTTCATCATCAACAAGTTCAACTTCATCAACTTCGTCATCTACATCAACAACAGCAACAAGCACAAGTTCTACTTCAACTTCGTCAACATCGACATCATCGTCATCAACATCAAGTTCATCAACATCATCATCATCGACATCATCAACATCAACATCAACATCAACATCGTCAACTTCAACTTCAACTTCAACATCAACAACAACAACAGGAACAACATCAACATCAAGTTCAACTTCATCAACATCAAGTTCATCAACATCATCATCTACATCATCAACTNAGAATTGTTGTTTTTGTCATTACTCGCCATAAATCTACTCGACATAAATATTCAGTCATGAATGTTTCATCAATTGCACAATATCCTGATGAAGAAGAAGTTTTCATTCGAGCATCGAGAAAATTTCGTGTAGAAAATGTTGAAAAAGATGAGAATTCGGGAAAATATTTCATTTATTTATCACTTCTTTAAAGAAAAAAAAGAATTTGGAAATGAATAAAAGAAAAGTAATTTGTAAAAATTTGAAGAAAAGAAAAGTAAAATAAAAGAAAAAAAAGAAAAGAAAAGTTTAATTTTTTGATTTGATTAATAATTGAGTTTTGTCCAATTCTTGAATAAGATTTTCAATTCTTTGAATATCAACATGATTTTGAATTTTATCAATTTTCATAAATTTCAATGCAATTTCATAATATTTCTTTGATTGACCAAAATCATTAACATTAAGAAACACTTCGGCAATGTTTTGAAAAACATCTCCAATATTTTCTAAATCTTCTTTATTATAAATTAATTGTCGACAGATTTCTAAAGCTTTTGTTGAATGTTGATTACATTTGATATCTTGTTGAATTTGTTCTTGAGAATAAATTAATGCTAAAATACTATGTGATTCGGCTTTTTGTAAATCAATTAATGGTAAAAGTTCTTCACGGATTTCCAATGATTTCAATGCATATTCTAAAGCATAATCAAAATTATTTAATCTTAATAAACAAGTCGAAATATCGAGAAAAATCGATGCACCAATTTCATTAAATAAATCTAAAAGATGTTTTTCATAATTATTCATTGCTTTTAATAATGATGATAAAGCTTGATTAAATTCAAATTTCTTTAAATAACAATTTCCAAGAAGATTATACGATAAACCAATATTTAATGAATCTTCATTTAAACGAAATTCTAACGATTTGTATAAATTTAAAATGGCTTCATCATATTTTCCTTGTTTAGAAAGAATAAATGCATAAGTCCAATAACATTGTGCAATGTTACTTTTTTGTTCGGGAAAATCATTTTCATAGATTTCAATTGCTTTTAAAATTGAAGAAATGCCTTTCTCATAGAGTTGTTTTGTCATATTTGAATAACAAGTTCCAAGATGTGAATAACATAACGCATAATTTTCTTTATTCGAAGGTAAATGTTTTTCATAATGTTGAATCGCTGTATGGAAATGTTTCACTGCAATTTCATATTGTTTTTGTTCCATATAACATAAACCAATGAACAGAAACGAATTTGGATAATCTTTATGATTCAAAGGTAAAATTTGAGAGATTTTTTCTAAATTTCTTAATGCAATTGTATAATCTTTTTTATCAATATAAACACAACTTAAATCAATAAGACATGAAACAATTTCTTTTTGATGATCACAACCTTTCGCTACTTTTAAATGTTTTAAAAGAAAATCTAAACATTTACTATAATATTCAATACTAAGATCATATTGAGATTTACGATAAAAATTTAAACCAATTCCTTCATAACAATCCGCTAAGAAACAAAGTTTGTCTAAAGGAAAATTGTCTTCCATAAATTGAATCGTTTTAAGAAAATATTCGGTTGATTTATCATAATAATTCTCTTTTTGATAAATTCGTGCAATTTCACAATGACATTTCCCATAAAGTAATTTTATATTCATTTCTTCTTCTTTTTTCTCATTTTTTAAATGTTTTTCATAAATCGAAATTGATTTTAAATAATGATCCAAAGCTTTATCATAAAGATGTTTTTTAACAAAAATTCCTCCAATATTTTGATGACAAATACCAACAAGTAAATGATTGACTTTTGAATTCTTTTCTTGACAATTTAATGATTTAAGAAAATATTCTAAAGATTTCTCTGTATCTTCATTTAAACATTTTTCACCTAAATCAAATAATATTTGTGCTTGTTTATCTTAACAACGAACTTAAGGTCAACTTGTTATGTTCTTTAACTGTAAAGAAATTCAAAAATTAACAAAATATCAATGTGACATTGAACAATTTCTTTTTTATTTTCTTGAAAATAACCAAAATCATTTATTGATATTTTCAATTTGAAACAAAAATCAATGAGGGCGTCAAATAGTTTTACATTCTTAAATATTTCGTCATATTTTTGTAAAAAAGAACGTTTTTTCAATAACCTCATTCTTTGAAAAGTATTATATTTCTTCGAGCATAATTTTCGGTCATTAGTTGTTTTTTTGCGAAGGATGTTGAGTGCAAATTCAAATTTCATCATCTAACTTGTCATTGAAGTGCAAAAATAACTATCAATCATATTTCTCAGCATGTCTTTCTTTCAAACTGTGATCATATACAATAACATCAATTGATATATTTTCTTTCATTAAATTGAGAATATAATTTAACTATAATTTCATATTTACAAAATTATAAATCAAAATCAAAATTATCTTATTAAATCATCAATTGATTTTCTTTAAATGTCATGTCTTATATTTCTATTTTACATTTCATTCGATCAATTTTTGATCAATATCTTGTTAATAAAATANTTCTCAATGAAATTTGAATGTTTTTCATGTGATATTCTTTGTTCCGGTACACATAACTCTCAAAAAATGTTCTCGTTTCTTTTAGTTTTATATGACGAAGCATCAATTGTGAACGTTATTGATGAAGGAAAACATTCTTTACGAGAAACTACGAAACATTCCATTTCTACACTTCCATTTATCATTTTGAACTAAAAATGGTTCAATAAAATGTTTCGACTCACTCATTGAATCATTTGGATTATCCATCGGTATTTTATTATGATTAATTAATGAAGATTCCAATGGAATTTTGTCATTAGTTACATTTTTCGAATCTTTTTCATCAATGATTTTCCTTGAAGACATTTTCATATCTTTACCAGGATTTATTGATAATTCATTGGACATTTTATCAGTTTCTTTCGAATTCATTAATTTATTATCTTTTCCATGAAATTGAATTAATTCTGTTGAACCTTTTAACACATTTTTGCTTTCTTCTTTTATAACTGGAAGTGTAGAAATGGAATGTTTCGTATTTTCTCGTAAAGAATGTTTTCCTTCATCAATAACGTTCACAATTGATGCTTCGTCATATAAAACTAAAAGAAACGAGAACATTTTTTGAGAGTTATGTGTACCGGAACAAAGAATATCACATGAAAAACATTCAAATTTCATTGAGAAATTTCTTCAATCAATTTTATCTTCCAACTCTAACGAGGTCTTTATTCAATAATACTTTATCATAGATTTCATCTCAATTAGATTCGTCTTTTTCGAGGTTTCATAGAAATAAATGGACGAAAGATACTGATCAAACTGGTTCTCTGTAACATATTCTTGTTACTTTATCTATATTCAGTTAAAACATAAACTTTCCAAGATTATTTCCTTTGTACTAACGGATACAATGATGACTTGAATGAAGTTCATCTAAGTCTATTGATCGACACACACACATCCTTGTAGTCTCTCTTCATGATCGTAGCTATAATAGAGAGTTAGAACTATCGGACAAGTCATTTGAGTGAAATCTCCGAATGGATTCTCTTTATCACATATTGAAGTTTTCCAAGATCAAACTTATCAAACACGTTGTTGAATGATTTGTAATGTTCTCTATGACAAAGCTGACTGAAGACTTTTCGCCTGAGTCGTTCACACTGGTTCGCTAATGGATTCTCTCCTATACCCACAAAAGTTCGATGTGAATCTGCGCTCCTTCTCTATCACAGAACTACTTGGATGAAATTTTAGCGAGATCACACTCAAGTCATTTCTATCAACACTCTCTCGATATCTTTTTATAGCTTAAGAATTCATACTGACAAGTTGCCGATCATGACGAAAATAAAAGGGAGGGAATACATAAGAAATAAGCGCACAAACATGCAAATTTATATAGAAGAATTGGAGAAAATTTCACTGACAGACATCATTAATATAGTCGATCTGGCTCATCGTCGAACTCGATTCTAATAGTTTCCTCACTTTTTTGAGTACACAAAAGAAGAAAATGATCATTAGAGACACAATGTGAATCATATCGATAAAATTATTCAAATGAATTGAAATTGTCTAAATATTTTCATATTCTTTCGTTGAGAAAAGCTATCTGGAAAGAGTAATCTCTCTCTCTCTCTCAATCTGACAAATATTCGATTAATTGACATACCTTTTAATCTTCTGTTTAATATGGAATTTTGATAAAATATTTGTTCGTGTTTTTGATAAAGAAAATCTCGAATAATTTGTTGAAATTGTCGATTATTTTGAATCGATTGAATAATTTGTTCATCGTTCATCAATGAAGATAAAAGTAAATAAATTTGATTTTCTTTATCAATTAATTGTCGAAAGATTTGTTGACGTTGTTTTATATATTGATAAACAATTTCAAATTTATTAATTAAAGTTAATAATAAACGAATTGTACTTTTCATTATAATTTGTTCTTCTTTCAATAAATTATCATTTGTTAATAAAATTAATAAAGAATCACATAAATAAATAAAATCTTCTTCTTTTAAAATATTTAAATGACATTGTTGAAAACAATTATTTAATAAATCAATTAAATAAACAAAGCCTTTGATAGAATTTTT